GTATTCTCATCCGCCATTTTGGTTCCTACTAGATGGAGAATTATAGCGTATATAGTATAGTATAGCGTACATGTGTAACACGTCAATTATTAAAAATGATTCAGGACTTTTTTCGACTCATTTTTTGGCAAGGAATAACGCTATGTACTTAGTGGGCAGTCTTTAAGTGTCACCCTGTATACGCTATAATTCTCCATCTAATAGGAACCAAAATGGCGGATGAGAATACCTACATATCTAGTGCCTTAGTATCTACAACGCCAAACACAGTCAAAAGTTTCGAACTTGACTGTATGTAAAAGGATAGAAATACACGACATGTAGTTCTCTCTCGCGACAAGCAATTCAGTGTTTTATCCTGTATATATAGCTTAGTACTCACTAACAAGGAAGGTTTGATAACCCGAAAATTCTAAAAAATCTGAAACTTTACAGAAATATAATACATATGAACCTAATCGAAAAGCTATTTTTTGTTTTAACTAAAAAATAATTCTAGGAATGGAAACACTCTTTAAAAAAATCTGATTTTTTGCAGAATATTTCCCCCTCTAGAATTATTTTTTGCCAAAACAAGAAATAGCTTTTTGATTAGGTTTATATATGATAATACTGCAATTTCAGATTTTTTAGAATTTTTGGATTATCAAACCGTCCTTGTAAATTATAATTAAAAATGTTATTAAATCGAATCATATAATAGTGTCTGTTTAAACATAGTCAATGTTTAATCAAACATTTGTAGAAACTGAATAATTAATTGAAATATAACTTACCCTTTTTCAATATCATAAATTAGAAAGAACGATGATTGATAATAATCATAGGAACTAGCAGCAAATTTTGTTTCTATAGGATCAAATGAGATTGATTCCACAGAAAAATCGTATAAAGAATCGTCTTCAGGTCGTTCCGCGTTGACTTCACAAAATATTTCCTTTTCTTCCGTACAACCTTTTTTATCGTCTGTATATTTTAGTATCTACGCAAAAACAAACTTTTTATATACTACATTAACATAGCATTATTACAATTTCTCTTGAATCTTACCTTTATTAAATTATCAGAACCAGTTATAATGTGTTGTGATGTTGCGTCTATGAGATCAATTCGTTGATTTACATTATGTATTTCTGAATATTTAAGATCATTTCTTTTATCCTTCTTCGATTCAATTCCCCAGTGTTTAATAATACCATGTCTGCAAAAATTTTTGTCAAAAATAAAAAAAAGAAATAAACATAAAATACAGTTCATAAATAAATACTCACACGTCGCCACTTATAATATAATCATCGCAAAGAGCAATAGATTTAATAAAAGTGTTATTATTTCCCACAATCTTTTTATGCTTTTTAATGGTACCGTTCTTTGCGCGATTATAAGCAAGAAAATTACTACCCCTTCACAAAACCATACCGTATTTTTAGTCATATGTAGGCATTTACAAAGCGATATATGTTCTATATATATTTTCTCTTTTTCTTTATATATATTACTTTCTTTATAACTCGCAGATATCCAATTGTAATATGTAATAAATATAGAATTATATGAAGATAATAGTGGTTTACATCTGTAAAAGAAAATAAGACGTGTTTTCCAATGTGATCTTATGTAAAATCGTGTATATTCTATATTCTGAAAATATGTAAATATTAAAATGTATTTTAAAAAGATATAATTAAAAAATTGAATAAAGTTTTGCATAATTAAAAACAAAATAAAAAGTTGTGATTTAACGTTAATATGTGAAAAAGTTATATCGCAAATATTGTATAAGATTTGAAAAAAAGTATGTTCATTAAAAACACTTTTCTATTAATTCTTTTAATTGGACAAATTTAAATCAATTTAGAAGTGATTAATGATGTCATTGCATTGCCTCTGTCAATAAAATAAAATATAGATCTAGTTTACATCACGGACTAAGGAATAGAGGGACGGAGCACAAGCTGTACCGTGGGAGCACGTTTGCGGCGGGGGGGGGGCCGGCCCGCCATATTCGTTTAGTAATCACCACACATAGAACTCACTATTTGCGTATGTGTGAGAAATGAAAGTCAGATTGTCCTGCGCACAATAAACAAAATAGGAAATAGAAATAGAAATAATTATTAAATATTAGAAATAAGAAATTGGAATTATTTATTTTAAAAATAAAAAGAATAGAAAAAATTAATGCATGAATTAAGAAATAAGAATTGGAACTAATTAATATATTTTATTCTCTTGTTAGATGTAAAATAATTTCTCTTTTTAATATTAAATGTTTATTGCTATTTCTAATATTTTGTCTACTGTATGCAGAGCCCCAGAGTAATAAAAGTTAAAGTATTTTATAAAATTTATAGTACAACAATAATAAAACCGCCTAATCTCTTTACGCTTGTCACTCGTTATGCCTAGTGGCACCATTACACGAGTGTAACCATGTACAGACACAGAATCTCTGTGTGAGAATCGCTACATCAATATGGCGGAAAGCAGTCCCCCCCGCACGCTTGAATTACCATCCCCTCTCGCCGAAACTAGGACTTTAGACTCAGTCCCTCTATTCCTTAGTCCGTGGTTTACATCGTCAAAACGTTAGGACGTGTATTAAGTTTGGTGCGCACCAATGTTTTAGTACGGATGCGTTTACATCGAACGTACTAAAGGAAAAAAAATAATATGAATATAATTCATGTCGATTGCCTTCTAGTGGTGATATTTGGAATTACAATTCGCTCGAATTTATTCTTGTTTGGTAAGTAAAGTACATTATTTATTTGAATAAAAACGAGAAAATATGAATAATAATTGTATGTAAAAGTGTATGGCCAGGTTTTAAATGTATTAAATATTAAATGTATTAAAATTTACAATATAATCGAAAAAGACGCATAATGATTACGATAAGTAATCTTCTCCCCCATTTATTCCTTTTCTATAAGACATTTTAATATAATATCGTTTGAGAAAGACCAAAGGTTAATGATAATACCGGTTTTAATTGAGGTTATGCTCAATGCTAGATTCTTCCCAAAATGCGTTTCGTGCGTTTACATCATCATTTTTATCATTTGATACGCGTATCAGTTTAGTACAATACTCCTGCTTGATACGCTCGTACCAAATTGATCTGGCAGCGTTTACATACGTACTAAATATTTAGTACGAATTTTGTACGAATATAGTACCTGATACGCGTAAAAAGTGCACGATGTAAACTAAGCCATTGTAAAAAATCTGTTCGGCAGGCAATGTGATAAAATGAAAATTCTAGAACGGGGCTGACAAAATCAAGATCTATAGAGAGAAGATTACCTCATGCGCAAAGAGGGACGAGGGGCAAGAGGGGCTAATGCTGTGTGGGGCGAGCGGCAAGAGGGGCAAATGCTGAGCGGGGCGAGCGGCAAGAGGGACAAATGTTGAGCGGGGCGAGCGGCAAGAGGGGCAATGATGATCTCATCGTCAAACAGTAGCTGTCTCTCTCGCACGCTTTAGTGTTTTCTCTCTCGCTTTTTTAATATAGAAATGCTTTGAGTTTTTATCGAAAAAATACTTTTATTTTGTAAAATATTGATAGCACTGGAAATTACGTAATAAAAATTGAAAAGTAAATTAGAAAGGCGCTATAAATTACATATATTG